GAAGGAGGGGGGCCCTTTCTGTGCTAAATGTCACGTGACTTTTATATTGTTTATGAAGGAAAACTTTAAAGCTGATGCTAAAATCCCCCCCCCCCCCCCCCCCCCTCCTGAAGAAGAGGAGGTCTGAGGAGGATGATAAGGAGGAGGATGTCAGGATGAGGAAGAGGATGAGTAGGAACACTGAGAAGGATGAGAAGGAGGATGAACCATCTAAATGTTATTTCTGTAACAGTTTTTGTTCGCTCCGAACAAATCATGAACATTTGAAAGGAGTTCAATATTAAATATGCCGGTACCTCCCGCACCCCTTCAGTCAACCTCAAAATTGTTAGGAGCTCATTCAATTATAGAGCTCATATATTACTATATTAACGATGTGTCTGTTAAACTATCCTTTCTGAATATTTAAGACCGGGCTGCTGAGAATGATTATAATTAAATGTTTATTAAATTTTAGTTAAGTTTTAGCAGTTAAGGAGCTAATGACAAAGATAAATTGACCGTCAGCACAATTCGTAGAAACTTGCCTTTGTACCTGTTCGAAGTGTTCGTGCATTGGGGCTTTGTATGAATTATTCGCAGCGATGGCGAGAAGTTTTTAATAATAATGTTCCAACCAATGTCCAGGTAAACTTAATGACTTTGCTGTGCTTTTAAGGGCTGGTCATGTTCGAATATTCTTAAAACTCTCACTCACGTTTGATTTTAGTTAGGTCTTAACGTTACTTAACTCATACCTATTCTGCTATCATGGTATAAATGTCATGACTTTTGTCCTTGCTCGGTAAGATAAATATATTCTCTAGTTTTGGTGATCCCGGGATATCTAGACTTCATCTGACTTCAATCCTTTGCATGTTTATAAAACTGTAGCTCAGTAGATGGCTGTTAAATACCATGAGTCTGATGCTTCTTAAAGCATCAGACTTGTTTGCTCCTTAAATCCAACTAGCAAATTTCTCGTATTATAATCGAATGAGTACGAAAACTGTGCCTCGTTATAAAACGTAAGCTGCCGTTTTATAAAGACTAGCAGGAACCCGTCTAACCCAGAACCCTAAAGTGGTGTCAAGACTCGAGAGACTAAAATAATTATTACCTATTTAATTCGCGTTTTTGACACCACTTGGGAGTCCAAATTTTGGGCACTAAAATTATTATTCCTTGGCCAATTTTTTATTTTTTCATGCTGATTTGAAGGCCCTTAAAGCATTTGACCCAGTCAAAAAAGTTTCAGTTGTATATCTTTTACGGTTTTTGCGGAAAGTTGCGTTAAAGTTGATACCGTGGTGTCAGTAAAATGGCACGGATAAACACATCCATATATATCGTCTCGCTTTATATAATATAGTAAGATAGTTTTTTTGAGATTTCTGTCACGTGTGTCACGTGTGTCACGTAGAATAGTTTCAGGTGCATAGTATATAGCAGCTCTACCCACCATCTGTTATTTGAAGTGTTATGTAGAAATGGAGAAAATTCATGGAAAAATGTCAATGTTATACTATGCAGATGCTGACTGCTGTCAGCTGTTACCTTTAATCTTGTCAGTTCAATTAAACAACTTGTTTTGTTTGCTCTTCAAGATTAACAGGCTTATTAATCGTATCATTATGTCATTGAAATATTTAGATTACTCATGAAGTGTCCCATCTGTTTGGAGTTGAAGAGAATTGTGACTGGGAATAAAAGAGTGGGAATAAAAATAAAAGCGGAATAAATTGTAAGATAATGAAACAGAAACTCTATTGAAATATTTAGATTACTCATGAAGTGTCCCATCTGTTTGGAGTTGAAGAGAATTGTGACTGGGAATAAAAGAGTGGGAATAAAAATAAAAGCGGAATAAATTGTAAGATAATGAAACAGAAACTCTATTGAAATATTTAGATTAATCATGAAGTGTCCCATCTGTTTGGAGTTGAAGAGAATTGTGACTGGGAATAAAAGAGTGGGAATAAAAATAAAAGCGGAATAAATTGTAAGATAATGAAACAGAAACTCTATTGAAATATTTAGATTAATCATGAAGTGTCCCATCTGTTTGGAGTTGAAGAGAATTGTGACGATCTTGGTTGTTGCCCTGATCCTGATCCAAGATGATGACAGTGTAACCTTATAATTTATTAAGCAGGCATTGTGATATATATTATTCTGAATTTTGAGGGCAATCGTTTTGTTGACCTAGTTATTCATAAATCTTTACTTCTATACATCCTTAATATAATCATTATCAACGGAGATAGATATTATTAATGGCTGTAATTAAATTTTGTTGGTTTATTTGTTTGTTTAATCAGCTGTTACAAGTAGATTATAAGTGAGACATTTTTTCCATTAAACAGTAAGCCATTGACTTGCAACCTTGAAGACATAAATGCAATCTTTTGCGATTAAAAAAAAAAACTCTTTTTCCGACCCCAGACGATGACAGAGCATCTGACAGATACAGGAGGAACCCACTGACTTACGATTACCTGCCAGACGTACCTCTGCCAGATGATCTGACACACATACCTTATCTTGAGATGGTGTCTGGGACTCTGTCTGTAAACCAATTTAGAGAGGTCACTGTGAGGTGCAGATTTACACTAGGAGGAGACCATGTTCTTACTTGTGTTCAAGGAATTTATTGGGAGTTCAACTTGTCTTTCAGGTAAGGGCAGACATGATTTTATTTATTTATTTATTATAAAGACTCGACAACTTATGATCAGAATCCTGTCGCGCCCCCCCCCCCCCCCCCCTCCCCCCTGGCCCAAGTCCTACCTCAGGCAACGCCCTACTTATGCCATGTACAGCGAGAAATATCGCCACTCAATCATTTTTTAATTTCGAGATTTTCTTAACCCAGATATATAATATGGGCGATTTCACATAAAGTAATTTACACTTAGCACAAAAAATTGGCCTTATTCTGACTCTCAAGCATTACACAAACATAACAGAATCATGATAAATTGTATGAAACATCTCCAATGTACTCCACACACAGCTATATTAAGATTTTGACTCCAACTGCTATGGCTTTTGAGTGAGGCACGTTTGAAAATGTAACGTAATTTACAGGCCCACAAATTGACATTCCTGACCAACGTGTATTGGAATCTCATTTCGTGCCCAGGTGTGAGAGTATACATTTAAATATTTCTCATGCACACTAGCAAATGTCTTGCCTGTACTGGCGAGGGTTTGTTTTGGTAAATGGTTAATAGCTGTGTTCTGTAGAAGCCTTTGTTCCTTGTAAAGTAATTTACTCTACTGTGTCTTGAAATAATTTACTCTGTTACACAATCCTTTGATTTTAACTGTTTAAAGCTGCCCCTTAGTTTTTAATTCGTTTGCTAAGTGTATGATCTATGTAATATATGATTAATAATGATATATCAGTTTATCATTAGCCAATTAATTGGTTGTTTGGTCCACTGATTGGGTCCACAGTTAACCCAGTTATACAGAGTAAGTTTTTATTTTGTATGTTGTGCTTCAGGAATATGTCAAGTCAGTCTAGACAGCTGAAGTTCTGGAAAAATAAGTACAACGATTCCCCAGCATTCCGCAAAGAACAGAGCACAAGAATAGGCAACTTACAAAAGAGAAAGTGTGCGGAGATGACTGAGGCTGAAAAGGAGAATGACCGGTTGAAGAAGAGTGCATACATGAAGAATTACAGGGCCAAGAAGAAAGCTGAGAAGATCAAGATAATCTGTTCCCCTGGCCCTTCTTCGTCACAGGAAGTACAAGTAGTAGCTAATTTATCTCCTTGTAGTAGGATGAAGCAGAGAACGGGGTTTCGGACTAAACCTGCCTTGAGAAGAGCAATGAAGAGGATACTTAGCTCTGCACCTGCATTACCGACAAAGAGACAAGGAGCAGTGAGCGAACTGGCTAAACAATGTGGCTTGGTTGTGGGTCCTCCAAAGGGACCAGATGTTTCTACTGGGTCTCCATTCGTCAGACAAGGGGCACCAGTATATGATGAAAAAAGAAAAAAAAGATGTCGATCAATATAACGGACCTTTAGACTGTAGAATGCTCATAATCTCAAAACAGTATACACATACCAACACCAGAGAATAATTATTCACCACCATGAAACCCCAAATAATTTCCAGATTTCATTCAAACTTACAGCTGCAGTTCTGGACTTTAAGAACCAGTCGAATCTGAAGAGGGGAGCGTTTCTAACTTCAGTCCTCAGCTCGTCGTAGACGTTCTCCTTGTCAATACCCAGCTGATAAAGCATGCAAACCAGGAACCTGGAGAGGTTGAGAAAATATTATTGATTTTTGTCTGCTCCATTGTGATTTAATTAGCTATGCAATATTTTATTTTATCACTGAATCAACAATCAGAAACACTAGGCCGTTGGAAGCTCTCCGTCGATCAAATCCAGATAAGTGACAGTGAATTGTGAAAACTTACTTATGAAGTTATAATAAACTAATATTTTAATTAAATAGATTACAAAATAATTATCTAATTATCTTCTTGTTTAAATCTAATTATCTCATTAACCTGTCTTCCTCCTCGTTGTAGTGTTTCCCTTTGTTAGTTCCGTACTGCATCTTGAGCTGGTGGAATGGTGCTCGGTACCTGAGTGTTTGTGTCTTGTGATAAGTATTAAGAAACAGATTCAACATAGTATTACATTCAAATATAAAGCCGAAATTAAATGTGAATATTCAACATTCAGTACGACAGGCGCCTCTTAAAACCCAGAGTAGAACCATGCAGATCATTAAATATTCAGCACTGTATAACACAAGTAAACACAGGTAATCACAAGTAATCACAAGTAATCACAAGTAATCACAAGTACTGTATAACACAACTTCCACTCACCTCGCCATCTTAGCCTCCAGAGCACGTCGAGTGTTCTGTCTTCTCTCTATCTTCGCCTCTCCTCGTTCTATCTGACTGTTTATCTTCTCCAGATCCTGTAACTCATTACACCTCTCCCAAAACACCTCCATGTACGCTTTCACCTCCTCGGGTGTTTTACCCTCCACATCATCAGCGATATTCTCCACGTCATCCCTCCCCCATTTCTCACAGGCCTTTATAAAGTTGTTGAAATCTCTCTTGTTCCACATGGTGAAACCCTCCTCTAGTAACGCATCCTTCTCAGCTTGTTGCTCCTCATTGAGAGGCTGAGCGTTATCTATCTTCTCCTGGTCCTCCTTCTGAACTGCCTTCGCTTCATCCTTCGGCAGGTCTACATTCAGTGGCACCTTATAGTTGACTTGTTGGCGGTAGAAGTAAATCTCCTGATCCAACAGTTCGAAAAGTCGAGGAGGGAAGAACTGGAAATCTTGTATGCTTGGCTGTTTAGGTGGTCGTGGGGCTTTAGGTGCTTTCGGTTCTGAAGTTCTCAAAGCGTCTCTAAAGTAAGAGTCAACATGATAGTTAGCTTTCCTCTCGCGTTTGGGTGGTTCTATCCAGTGAGTAAACACTTTCTGTTTCTGTTTGTAGTCTACTCCCTCGAAGTTGTAGACAGTATACTCGTTCTCTTCCATGGCGAACCCCTTCAGATTCTCCTCACTTTTACTCTCCATCTGTTGGTTCAACTCCTCTGTCTTCTTCACGCCTCTTCCTATCAGCTCATCTATATCCTCGTCAGTTACTGTGCTGTCCTTCCCGGAGAAGATGAAGTCAGCTCCGCTTCGGATCCAGGATAACATCTCTTCTTTGTTGACCTTGGTGTTGGGGTCCACCAGACGACCCTGCTGGATTACGAGATGATCCAGTTTTAGTTTCCGCTCTGCTTTCTCTATGATCCTCTCCTCTACCGTACTTTCTGTTACAAACCTGTAGATCATCACCTGTTTCTTTTGTCCGATCCTGTGAGCTCTATCCTGTCGGAGTGATAATAATTAGTAATTAATAATTAGTAATTAGATAGTAATTAAGATCAGGTTGTTGTGGGATCTATGATTTTTAACCTCAGTAGAACTGAATGAAATATCAGAATGAAATAGGAGATAAAGATGAAGGTACCTGAGCTTGAAGATCCATCTGAGGGTTCCAATCGCTGTCGTACAGAACGACAGTGTCAGCAGTCATCAGGTTAATACCTGTCAAAAACACCAAGATAAGATAAGATACCAAGATAAGATAAGATACCAAGATAAGATAATTATAAGTTCCAGATCTAATGATCGTAGACTGTCAACCCTTGTGGTTTTCGGAGATGTTCTCCCAAAAGGTGTAACAAAAAATGTAAAATAATGCGGACAAAATATCTTGGAAAGGCATCTACTAAAGCTTTTTCTGAGTTAATACATTTGTAACTCTCAATAGCACAAAAGTTAAGCAATTTAATATTATATACCTAGACCACCAGCTCTTGTAGACAGGATGTAAACGAACACTTCACTTCCTGGAGCGTTGAACTTGTCGATGTTAGCCTGAGAAAAAGATTGGTCACACTATTATAACATCTGATGGTCGGAACCGAAAGCCTGTTTCTAAAATTCAAGTTTTCTGAAACTCTGAAATACTTTTTCTGCATTAATTTTTATAATTCTACTCTTACAGTAGACAAAATGAAAGTGACTTACCTGTCTCTCGTCGTGGTCAGTTTGTCCGTCAAGTCGGAAATATTTGAAACCTCTCCAGATAAGGTAATCCTCCAGAATATCTAGCAATCTTGTCATCTGAAATGGGTGATGTTAACAAGAGAATTACTTGACAGGGAGAAGGAGGTGCTTGGCAACCATTTGATTGTTTAAAATGTAAATTTGTGGTAACTTTTAGGCAACTCAATACTTTTTGAGGACATACAGGGTACTCCAAAATTCTAAACAGTATATTAAATAAAATACACAAACCTGTGAGAAGATGAGAACTCTGGAACCCCTCTCCTTCAGCTTAAAGAGTAACTTATCCAACACTTGTAGTTTACCACAGTTCGTAATCAGATGCATGTCAGTGGTGTAAGGAGGACCTGTAAATTATCTCAATTTAGGAGTGATACATCAAACCAGTGGCTGCCAACACTCTTCATGATAAGCCACATTATGCTTGGATATTTTAATTAAATATGTATCAAAAATCCGATGAATTTCAAAGTAGCGGACGGGCACATACCTGGTTCAGCACCGTCGAACAGATAAGGATGGTTAGTACACTTTCTGAGCTGCATGAGAATGTTCAACAACCTCGTCTTGTTTGAGTTGCCTGCTCCGTTGATAGTGTCGATATCCTTCATCAACACCTTTGTGTACCTGTGAGGTGTACAAGAGTAATGTACAAGAGCTGAAGACGATTTACACAAAGTATTTTGAAAGCTTCTGCTAATAAAATCCTTTCGTATCACTTATACCCTTATATGTTTTAAATATCCCCCTCCAGACAAGAGTAATGTTTTGTGGTGACAAAAGCAATACTGAACACTATATAATGACATAAGGATAATGTGCTAAGTCTTATCTATTTTCAGTTTGTATTATATTAATCACTACGATCACCAGATCACGCGACGGAGTAATAAAGCATAACGAAACGTTTTAATTACCATTCTCTCTCTCTCTCTCTCTTAACTTACCATTCTCGCTGCATCTTACTCATCCCAACCCAGATCTTGACCTGCTTCTTTGGCAGTAAGCTCTTCTCCACGTCGCTCTTCAGTCTCCGCAAGAGGAAGGGACGCAGCACGTTGTGAAGTTTCTGGACCATGCTTCCGTCCTCAAGACAATCGTTAGAATTGAACCATCCGTCGAAATCCTGGATGAAAATTGTTCTTCATTACAATAATAACCTTTGATGAGAAAGAGGACCTTAATTTACCTAACGATGGCATTTTATGAAGTCGAATTAATGTATTTATAGGTCAGAGTCACAAAGGCTTAAACTTTTAAAAAATGTAACGAAAAAAAATCAAAACAAAACTCACGTCTGAGGAGGAGAAGACATCAGGAAGGAGGAAGTTAAGGAGGGCCCACAACTCATGGAGATTGTTTTGTAAAGGAGTACCAGTTAAAAGGAGTCTGTTGGTCGAGGAGAACGTCCTCATCACCATTGATAACTGAAACGGAGTGGTTACAACCGTGAAATAATGCAAACATATCATAGTGGATAAAACCCGAACATATTACATTTCATTGCAAATGAGTATGAAAATTATATTATTGATGAGACTTAGTTATGACAAAACTTATACTAAAAACAAACCTTGGAATTTTCGTTTTTAATCCGATGAGCCTCGTCTATAACAATGTATCTGTACAGGAACTTCTTGAGACAGGACTTTTCAATGATACACATCTCGTAACTTGTGATAACGACGTCCCAGTCTCCACCCTTGATCTCCACCCCTATTATCTTTTTCTGTAAACGTGATGTCGTTTAGCATTGAGTGTTATTACTCATCACTCCATTGAAATGGAGATCGCAACGATATAGGCTCCACATCAGAATTTAAGGCGTTATTATGGATCTCCATAAAAGGAATATTTCACTTAAACCTTTTCTTTTCAAGCGCAGCCAGGACCAAAAATAACCAAGAAAGATAAACAGTTATACCCTAGCTTCCTCCAGACCGATCAGGATCACAGTTCGAATACTGGGGCACCATCTGCTGAACTCGTTTTTCCAGTTCTGAAGAGTAGACTTGGGAACAACCACCAGTGGTGTCCGGAAATGTTACGGAAGTGCTTCATGTAGCCTATCAGAGAGATCGTCTGGAGTGTTTTACCTAGACCCTGAAAATAATTCCAGTTATTGGTAGTTTTTAAACAGCCCTCAATTACATATTCAGTCATGAAACTGACAATTACTCCAAAAACATTCTTCTCCAGCGCACTGTTTTAGAAGCATTGCTATGTCATAAAATCTTAATATAGTTAATAATGTAAAACACCACATACCATTTCGTCGGCTAGGATTCCGTTTAGTCCATTTTCGTACAAAGAAATCAGCCAGTTCAGTCCACGAACCTGAGACAATATTTCACAATTCAAACAATATGAATTCTACAAAATTATTACGCGAACGCGCGTGCCCGCCAAATGGTAATTTTTGCGCCGACTAACCTATCTTTATGTCAGTGTTTGCTAGTAGTTTTGCTACATTTTTACAGTAAACAGCGCCAACAAAGGCTCTATTATCAGAGTTTTTCAGTACAACCTGAGTAATCCACGAATTTCTTCTCAAATGAAAGAAATCTAATCTTAACCTGATAATCCCTCATTTCTCCAAACTTAATATAATGTGGCGACTTGTCAAATCTGGTGATTACGTTCGCGGAACTTCTCGTTTCTTCCAGTAACTCCTCATCTTCTTGTTTCTCTGAGACGAATAGAAAGTAAAACACTATCAAAATGCGCAAACCTATGTTTTACGGATAAATAGGCGGAAAATCACGCCAAATCATATTTTGTGCGAAGCAAAAATGTAAACTTCGGTGATTTTAACGTAACACCTCAAATTTACTTGACAATGTTTAAGATAGTGCAGTATTAACTTTCGATTCACAGGACTTCAATTTCTGAGCATCTCTCTCGTTACTGGCTTGATTTATTGCTTACTATTTTTCAAATCTTAAATCGTATCTATTCGATTTGATTTGATTTTATACACAGTGTTTTTAATTACCGTACAATTCAGTTTGCGCAGTAAATTTGCTTAATTTGCTAGATCGGAAACTCACCAGCAAGGCCACTGATGCACAAAGACACGATTAAGGTACTGAAAGTTCTATTCTTAAAGAAAGCTTTGATAAACGGAAAATCATCAGAATGTAAAATGAGATTTTGGACGATTTTTGTAGAGAGGCTTTTCTGCTGTCTCCCTGACCGAAATTTCGCGGTTTTGACTAAATTATTTACCAGTGACCATTAATCAGTGAGGTCGTTTAGAGTGACACAAGTCGCCATCAAGGTACTGGAAGCTGTATATTCGAAGAAAACTTTGATTGAATGAAAATTTTGAAAATGTCCTACCGGTAGGACATTTTCAAACTTCAGCTTTCCACGACCCAAATTTCACTGTTTTGACTCACCAGTTTTTCTGTGTCTGTGTGATCCACTAGTTGGAGTCTCTGGTTCTTCCACTTTCTTGGGTCTTCCTACCTGTTGAAATAATGGAGATTATAAGGATGAATGTTGTTGCTTGGAGTGTTATGGGACGTGTGATATTGGTTGGGAACTGGGGATGACAAAAATCAACCGGATATCTGGTCAGGTTTTTTGTAAGCCTCGTTATAGTTCAATACTCAAATGGAATAAGGAATAATTGAAATCATAGCATTTTTTAAAGAAGAGTACAATTTGTGTATATACTAGTACACAATTTATTACCATTTTGTCTGATTCGTTTTCTCTTACTGGAGCAAATGAGTAATTGTTTCGCTGTCGTAATATGGCATATAATATGCCTATAATAATCATCGTCCAGGAATATATTACAGTAAAACTAGTAAAACCCAGATTTACCATGCCCGATTGACCGGCAAAACCCCCTGTTTTTTTGTTGAAACTGGTTTCGGATAGCAGTAGACCAACAAAAACTTAGGACCGGTGATGACCGAACATTTTGAGGGGTCCCGGCCCGAACGACAAAACCATCCGCGGGTAGCCACGCCCATATTGGGTCCAAATTAGGCTCAATTTAGTAAATACTTGAACATGCACAAAAACACCCAGTATTGATGTGCTCTACTTGTAGCTAGTGGTCCCCTGAAATCGTCTATGAATTTTCATCAAGATTGGACAAAAAAATGATCGAGTTTATGAGCCAAAAAACCATATGACTATTGGGCATAGGCACAAATTTATCGATTTTGGCCCATAAATTGGTCAAAGATCAATATTTTGGAATTGAACCACTTTATTGGAGTTGCCTATACTTCCATTCTCCATGATTCTCAGGCTCAGTATCTAACTAACTGTTGGATTCTGTGTTTCAAATATTCGCAAAAAATGAACAAAATCGCCCATATCTCAGTTCAAGATATTTGGCAAAACTGGATTTCGCTCAAAACAATCGAACTCATTTGGGTTTCATATTTTTACATTAAATTTCACGAATCAACGTTGATGCATTTTGTCCTTAAGTTTTGTATTGGAATTTTAAGTTAGGCTTTAAAAAATTTGGCGGCAAATTTCAAAATTTGCAGGCATTTTTCAGGACTTTGGCGCCAAATTTTTTTAAAGACCTAACTCACACAAAAATTCCCAATACAAACTTAGGTCAAAATGTGTTTCACAAAAAATATCAGGGTGAGTGAACCCCCCCCCCCCCCCCCCCCCCCCCCCCCCCCCCCCCCCCTTAACATACATTATGTAAACAATTAAAACCCTGATTGACCGCAGCTGCATTTCACTTACTTGCTTGATAGGACTCTTGGGTGGTTTATTGGCACCACTGATAAAATGAGCAAACAGTTCAGTCTGACTCAGCAGGAAGTCGAATCTTTTCTTTTTGTCATCTGTCTGAAATTACAATTTTTAGTTCAAAAATAAAGTATGTGATGTATTTTGAAAGGTATGTGACGATTTCGCACGAGAGTCGAGAGACTAGAGGCTCACAGGAGTCCCAGTGTTTAAGTTTAGCATTCATTCTCAATTTTCATGCTTGCACATTAGATTCAAGCTTTGTTGCATTATTAAGGGTTAAAAAACACTTTCACGATGTTTCTCATTTTCAATATTGTTAACTATCAAAAATTATTTAATTTGAAATTACCTTCATCATGCCCAGCATATCCTTGTCCAGCTTACATTGTTCTTTGAGTGCCTTGCCTATGCTGGATTCAGCAACAGGCATGTCTGCTTCATCTTCTGACATTCTCAGATCACTAAATATGGGAATGAGCAAGGACAAAAGAAAATCATGATTAATGTGTCATAATATATTCGTTAACTAGCTTGTTAGTCTAGTTAGATTAGAGAACAATAGGCGCACCAGAAAAAACAATATCACATAACATAATCTCGAATATATTATTGTTATAAAACAGCATAATGAAAGTTATATTGGTCAATTAAGTGTAGAGTATGTACAATTTGTATATCAACTTAGATAAATAAACACCAGCGATTCAAGCTGAAACTTACTTGTCATTACATGAATTATTTGGCAAAGGTCAACTCCCTAGAAACAAGGCACACTCACTTAAAGCATTGTATCATTCAAAAAAGCGCTGATTAACAGAAATGAATGAATGGATTCGTGACAGAGTTGAAGCACTAAACACCAATGACTGCATCAATTCTGGAGAAACAATATAAACGATTTTCGGGGCCAAAACTGACAACTTCATCTGCAACCTCAAAGACTGTTGACTTGCTGGTCACATCTGAAAAAGATAAGGAAGAGCTGTTATTTAATTACTTCTTCACAGGAAAACTCCTTCAAAACCAACCAATGACCAAGAGCACGAAATGCATGTAAATAATGAGTTCAGTAAATTAAAGAATGTTGCAGCAAATCTGCAAGTAGTAGTAGTTTTTTTTAGTACAGTGAAGATGATCGCTGAACAACCATATTTCCTTAGACGAGTAAAATCGCTTTAGAAAGCAGAAACAAATGACAAAATTCTGTGATGCAGAAAAATATTCACCCCACCATTCCTCAAACACATAAAAACAATTGTCTTCACGTCTTGCAGATCATATTTATCTGGTGTATGAGCACAGGAAAAATGGGCTGGGAAATCTTCCGATGTAAACATTCTTGAGGGAATGTAGAAAATCCAGTAACATGTTACCTTGGTGGATTATAGACCGAGTTCCATATCACTACTTTGGAAAGATTTGTGAAAGAGTGCTAGATAAAAGATTGAGACTCTTCTGGACATTGAAGGAACTCTTGTTGAAGTCAGGAAGGTTTTTATTGGAGGGAGATCAACAACGCGATATCTTTTCAGAATGCTGGCTACCTTGTGGGAAGTTAAACGACAGAAGCTGGCATGTATATAGTGCTTTTCCTTTGACTTCGATAGGCATTTGACCAGTGTTCATCTTCCATCACTATGTGTCAAACTATCAACTCTCGGTTATTCAAGGAAATAGTCTTAACGTGCTGAAAAGTGTTCTGTTCAAACCGGACGATATGTCTAAAAGTGAACAACTATAAAGGAGAAAAAGAAAATGCACAATATTTGGAACCTACCTCGGGGGCTGTACTCTCACCTCTCCTCTTTATCCTATACATAGCAGGACATGACCGCACAACCACCCGGAAGAGGTTAAAAAGATATCTAAGCTGCTAGCAAATTTGCTGATGGATGCGTACACTTATGATTTACTTTGAGAACATCTCCCGGATGCCATGCAAAAATGCAGAATGGTTATGTGGACCACCTTAGTCAAGGGTGCATCAAGAACAAAGCTAGTAGTGATGATCTGTGATACAATTAAAACAGTAGGCAATAATCTTGAAACTGCAGCTATATTGAAGAACGAAACAAAATGCTGAATTATGTATTAATGGAAAAGCATCAACTACGTCAAAAGTTCGAAGGTTCTTGGGGTACTACGTAGATGAGAACCCTCAAGTTCAAGAAAATGCCGTCTCAAAAACTTAAAGAATGCAAATGAAAGTGGGGATTAATAACACTAAATAATAAACCGCAATCTATGGTCTAAACGTTTTACAGCCTCACTCTCCTCCTTAAGGACAATGGTCCTCAATAAACTGTTCTACGCTCGCAACTATTTGGCTTCACAAGTGTCTCAATCTATTTAAAGAGCTCTGGAATAAAATATTCTAAAACTATCTGGATCAGACCTGAAAACCCCCAAAGGAATAAACCGAACTTGCTCTCCACCTACCACCACAGGATGGCAACCTCGAAGCTCTCTTGGTTAAATTCTGTGCAACAATACTCACACAAGGTGACAATCTTTCAGCTACCTCTACCATGTTGAGAATGAGAATACCTAAGTTTTCATTGTCCTAACAATGTCACGAAAAAGTACTTCTCTGGAAAGAAAAATAAGGGTAACACGGAACCAGAAATGATAGACCTAACGCCCCCATTTATATGTATATATGGACATCCGATCAAGGATCTAGGCCTATTACACTCAGGCAGGACATAATGAGCTCGTCCACACGTTTCATAGGATATGGATTGACAGCATCGAACAAATCTGCAATGCAGAACTGTCAGTAAGAACAGGAGACCAAGATACTCGGGTGGATCACAAAGATCAAAACAGGGGCTGCTCCTAGACAAAAACAACTTTTTTTATTCGGGCACAAAACACGAGTAAAATCGGGACAGCCGAATAAGGGACTACATTCACGGCAGTCAACACTCTTTGCGAACATCCAAAAGCTCATGGGTGGTGGCAGTGGTGTGCCTTGTCGTTTCTGTAACAGCTTCATTGATTCCCCCGTACACCAGGCTCCTATGGTGTCTGGAGGTGCAAGACACCAGTTACCTGCAACCTGAAAAAGAAGCGCTGGGTGGGCAGACTCACATTCCTATCTGGATGAAGTGTTCAACAAAAGCCAGCACACAAAAAGCATTCTTTAGGGAGAGTCGAATTTCTTTGGGGACAAAATGTGCTCTCAGGGATTTTTCCGACTGAAGAATCATGAAATTAAGGACTCTGCAAAACATCTCAGAGAAAATAAATTACCACCATAAAGAACCAAAGAGGGAGTATCCGGGACCCCGAAATCCACCACTTTTCTGTACTATCAGAGGTTACCAATGTGGCAGGAAACAGGGGCTCGATGCTGCCGCCTGAGCTAAAGCAGTAGAGGGGGGATGGCGGCTTCTCTAGGATCCTAACACGTCCTGTAAGCAGACCACACACTATGTCCCAACGCACTGGTGTTGGGAGTCCGCCCCCGGTGCCTGTCCGGGTCAATAAAGCAGTCAAGCAATCATGGTAAGTTATTTTTTTTGTTGAGCATTCTCAACCAACCAAATGTGGGAACTCCCACGAAAGACCAAAACAGATCTAAAGAGACACTTAACAACATTGGAAAAATTGACTTCAATTTGTTTATTATATAATTTATAAAGCGTATAGTAGTGCCCACGTTAAGGGGCCTGTCCTGTTAAGCATTTTATTAAATTATTAGCTATTTTAGATTTAATAATAATATTTGGCAATTGGTGTGTGGCACGGAGGCAGGGGTCTGGGGCGGAGCCCCTGGTCGGGGGTCCAGGGAACAAAGCTCCCGTAAATGTTTTGGCTTTGTGAGTTAAATTATGAATTTTTATTTTAGCAATTAGAAATCATCGGTACTGTATAGAAGCACTTTTAGGTAGTAGATACCTGTGGAATTATTGGACACCGTTGATTAAGCATCTTTATGGTTATTGGTTAGAGTGTATCTGGTGGTGGGAACATCTCCCTGTGCAGTATTATAACCATTAAGGCCACAATCTTTCGCCAGCTCTCTAATATCCACCATGAAGCTGCATTTTATATCCTTGAACTACACAATATAAACTATGACAGTCCACATAGACCATGCTGTAGCTTAGGTTCCCTATACATTGAACCCTATTCCTGTTACTCTATGAAAAGGAAAACGCATTAATAAACTTCCAAGGAATGATAATGGACATTAATAGAAACTATATTTTTACATTAATATGGAGTTTTTGTTGTTCAGTCATTGCCCCGCCTAACTGTACCCAGAATGGAGACCAAAGTTTAGGAAATTAACCCCAGGAAACCTGGTACTACCATGATTATGTCAATCCCCAAAGACTCCTGGTTAAATAAAAAAATTGATTAGTGACTTTGTAGAAAAAATGACAGAAAAATGACCTAGCCTCACATTGACAGTGTTATGCCTCACAAAATGACGGTTTTATTTTATGATACAAAGATGGCATATTGGATACCCCTTGTCTAATTATTGGTATTCTTGGTAATTATTGGTATTCTAAAACCCAGGCCCAGTAAGCTTATGATGAGCCTAATGTGTTTGTTTTATCATCAATTTTGATCAAAATGCCTCACAAAATGACACCTAAATGCCTTACCAAAATGACAATGTTTAGATTAATTAACTTTCATCATCTAAAATGGATCAGAAACAGTCAATACAAGAAGAGTTAAACAAAAGGGGGGGGGGGAATTTTGGGCCCCAGCCCGTTGTTCGTTTTGGGGCCGGCTAGGATTTCCATTTCACATTTACTATAAATTTAAGGATAAGCTCCAATCAGCTCACTTCAATCTTCATGATAGTAATATTGATAAATTTGCATCAAAAATACGGGGGAAAAATCAGTTCAATTGCCGTTAGAACTTAACTTGTATCTGTATTTCAGAAATTATCAGCAAAGGTAAACTATACTCGTGTTACACATCAATACACTACGCGTGCACGTACATGCATCATCATACATTAAAACACAGTCGCGCCGCGCATTTATACTTATAGATTCACAAGCTATCTATAATCTCCTCTCCGCAAGCATCCTCGCGCGCGCAACTTTATTCGTTGCATGGTAACGAACGAAGCAAGGAACACGACACATCCTTCGACCCCACTCGCCCAACTCCTCCCACAACAACTCCAGTTTTTCTGCAAAAAACCCCCTCCCCATTTCGTACACCTCTTCACTTTAGCCTCCTTCCTTCCCCCCCCCCAACCCCCCAAGGCCCCCCCCCCCCCCCCCCGTGAAAAGTGAAAACAATATCATAATCTGACTTTAATAATCAGGATTACAAATCGCCCCCCCCCCGTCTACCCACCCACTGCCTTCCCACTTTTTATCTACTCTACAGCATGTTTTATTCTCTCTGCATCCTGCCCTAGCATTGCCTTCACATGAAAAAACCCCCACACACGGCAAACCCCCCCCCCCCACCCCCCCTCC